GAGTGTCTCAATTTCTTCTACTGAATTTATTTCACAGAACCAGGTTCGTGACGAAGTCATAAAACAAATGAATAGTTTTTTCAAATCCGTCATATGAATCAACTTCACAGTATGCTATGCTGAGGGCTCTGAGTTCGTTGGTTGAGAGAAAGAGTCTTGGTGCTATAGTGGACATCTGCAGTAAAATGGAAAGTGGGATAATGGGAGTCCAGAAACAACGTTTTGATGTGTATACTTTTGTGATGGTCAGGTTTCTCAAGAATTATGATGTTGAGCATGGCCTTGAATTCCACAGGAGGATGACTAGCAAAGGATTTGTGCCCACTGTTTTAGCATGTAATAAGATTTTAAGGACTCTTTACAATGAAAACCAAGGAGATATCGCACACAAGTTTTTCTTGTTGATGCAAGAAGTAGGTCCGAAGCCAGGTCTAGTGACGTTTAGTACTGTGATTAATGGCTTTTGCAAGGAAAGAAGGTTGGATGAGGCACTCAAACACTATGCTCTTATGACTGCAAAAGGTATAGAGCCTGACATAATTGTTTATAGCATTTTGATCAATGGCATGTTTAAGGCTGGGAAATTTGACGAGGGAGGTCAACTTCTCTCAACTGCATTAGGTAAAGGCTTAAAGTTAGACGTTGTTATTTTCAGCACCATAATAGATGGATACATACAGAGGGGAGACATTCTAAGGGGTATTAAAGTATATAAGAGAATGTTAAGGCAAGATGTTCAGCCGAGCATCGTTACATATGGTATCCTGTTAAATGGATTGTGTAAAAATGACCAATTTCCTGAGGCTTTTGGAGTGTATTGTCAGATTGTCAAACGTGGTATTCAGCCATCACCCATAATGTACAGTAGTCTCATTGATGGTTTCTGCAAGGTAGGAAATTTGGTAGAAGGATTTGCTTTGTATGAGGATATGGTGATTAAGGGACACGCTCCAGATGTTTATGTTTGGAATATGCTATTGAGTAGATTCACAAAGCAAGGCTGGATGGAGAATGCACTTACATTCTTTTACAGAGTTGTTAAAAGTGGTTTAGCTCCCAATGTTTGTATATTTAACACATTGCTGGACGGGTTTTGTAGATTAAAACAAATAAAGGAAGCTGTAAATCTGTATATTATGATGGCCGCTCATGATATAGCTCCAGATCTAATTACATACACTTCAATCATCCAAATGATCTTTGATTTAGGGATTTATCGTGAAGCAATGGCTTTGTTCTTCCAAATGGTAAAGAAGGGATTCCTTCCCGATGTCATCACATATTGCGTTCTCATTGATGGGCTGTGCAAATACCACAAGTTGGCTGCCGGGGTACAAGTTTTCGATAATATGGTGACAACTGGAACCAAGCCTGACATTGCCATTTACAATGTCCTCATCAATTCATATTTCAAAGATGGCAATTTGAGAAAAGCGTTGGAATTGTTCAAGTACGTCTTGGATTGTGGGCCTGATCCTGATATTGTGACTTACAACACTGTGATTTGCGGCTATTGCTCTATGAGAATGTTGGAGGAAGCCGTTCATCTCTTTGCAGAGTTAAAGAAAAAACAGACCGGTCACAACACAATCACATTAACTATATTGATTGATGCCTTCTGTAAAGAAGGGAAACTTGACGTGGCTATGTCATTATTCTCTGAAATGACAGGAAAAGGTAGAGCCCCCAATGTGGTCACATATAGCTGTTTGATGGATGGCTATTTCAAGTTGCATTCATTCAAAACAGGTTTTGAGCTTCACAAGGAGATGCTCAGTAACAATATTCCCCCAAATATCATAAGCTACACAGTTCTGATCGATGGTCTCTGTGAAAAAGGAATGACGAAAGAGGCTTTATCGGTCTTCTATTCTGCTTTGAGATGTGGGTTTTTGCCCGACGTGATAACCTATGGGGTTCTGCTCTGTGGGTTTTGCAAGTTTGGCAGGTTAGTGGATGCGAAGTCGCTGTATAACTGCATGCTTGAAGCTGGGATTAAGCAAAATAGCATGGTACGGAATATGGTTGCCAAGTACCATCTTCATTCCATCAATGGAAGCGATTTGCCTGTCTATGAAAGGTCTTCCAGTTCCTCCTCACCGTAGAGTTATTATACGGAGTAACAATTAAACAATTTTGTACATATACTGGAGAAGCTTTTAGGATGTCCAGAGAACGATGTACTTCCGACTATGCAAAGTCCACTTTTGACCATCCCATGATCAATTGTTTCTGTATATATTCGCAACTATTGGGTCGTTCTTCCAACTATGTGATTGGTTACTTGTTGCTCCAGTTATTGTCATTTGGAAAGTGATACAAATGTTATAGTACTAGGGGTGGACCGGTTCCGGTTTGCGGTTCTGTTTTGTTGGGCCCGAGCCCGAACCGGTAGCCACCGGTTCCGGGCCGGGCCGGGCCACCCGGTTGGTAATTTTTTTTTGGCTTCTCCTATTTAACCCCCAACCCACCCCCCTCACCCCAAACCACCCCAAACCACCTCAAATGGCCCAAAATACCCAGCCCAACCCAAAAACTTAAAAAAAATTCAGAAAAAAAAAATTAAATTCGGCCTGGACCGGGCCCGAACCAGCCGGTTCACCAAATGGAGGGCCCGAGCCCGGAACCGAAGCCCACTGGGCTGGGTGGCCCGAACCGGGCACTAACCGGTTCACCGGTCCGGTCCGGGCCCGCATAGTAGCGGGCCGGTCCGGTTTCGGGCCGGTTGGCCCGGCCCGAGTCCATCCCTATGTTATACACAAAGCCTTTCAATATTATACAAGTGAGAATTGGGCACATTCTTGTATTGAGATTTTGAAATGGTCACTCCCAAGGTGTACGTCATAGGGTTGAAACTCATTCCAATTCAAGGATCTTGTAATTTAACAAAGAGCAAATATTATAATAGAAATGTGAGCACATCCAAAAAACAAAAACAATGTTGAAATGGTATACGTATCTATTCAAACCTCCGTATTTCAAAGATGACTACATTTGGTTATGGCACAAGATTTAAGGTAGAATAGTAAGGATTATGAATAGTATAGAAAAAGTAGGAGAGAAGGTAAAAAGGTAAGAAAGAGATGATAAAAAGGAAAGTGTAAGAAACTTTCAAATACGGAAGGAGTATATAGGTTAACGATTTAATTAGCTACATATTTTTTTTTTGGATTCGACCAGGAATGGATCTTCAATCAAGGTGCTTTAGATGTATTGCTAAAACAGGAGTACATAGGTTAACTAAAAATGGTGCCAATTTCTATCCGCAGGAGAAATATGGGTTTAAAAAACTGACCAAATGGTATGGGGCATTCCGAGAATCGAACTCGGGACCTCTCGCACCCAAAGCGAGAATCATACCACTAGACCAAATGCCCTGTTGGAAATAATTCGATTGATTGTGTTATAATTTCTTTGTACGAAATCTTAAGAGCACTCATATTCTCCCAAACCTTAAAGACGTAGTGACGTACAAGGTATGGTTCACACATGAATAATCTGAAACTGGATTAAAAGTAATGGAAATAGTTAAATAGTTAAGATAAAATTGCGCTTGGTAGCCAACAATTAATGCTAGTTTAATGCTAGTTTCCTCGCAAAAAAAAAAAAACAATTAATGCTAGTTTACTACAGATTAAATTCCCTATATAGGACCAAACCAATGGATAAATGCATAATTAGGATTTCTAGGACTAATTCTTCAAGGACTAAACGTATACTCCGTACTCAATTGACAAAACTATCTTGAATGAAATTTCAGGTGTAATTAAAAACAAAAATAGAAAAACACCAGGAAAGTAGGAACAAAGAGTTATCACCATCTAAATCGGCTATTGATGGGACACCCATGTGCCGCCACCATCCTCCACTAAATCACCATCTATCAACGCCCTTCGGCTAGACTGCCGCCACCACCCTCCCACTTGCTTCCGCCACCCTTCTTGAAAATTCTACTTCTCGATAAGTCCCACTTTCAAATTTGATAAAAAGTTAGACATATAAATAAATGATTAAAATCTCTAATTAAAATGATACTACTAACTGGATGATTTTATAGGGACGGCGGTAGTGCATAATAATTTCGTATTAACATATACGGAGTAATAACTAATTCCTTGTTAAGAAAAAGCGGGTAGTCGATTAGAGAGCTCCTAGAGCAGAGCCGCCGCTAGGTAATTTCCGATTTCGATCTTTCTTGATCGAAGTTCGGTCAGTGTTTCCCTAGCGAGATCTCTCGCGTAGGGTTTTTACTTCGCCGTCCTGGTGCAGCGTTTCTTTCAATCGACGCAGCTCTGCGCTGGATTACTGTGGTTTGGACGTAGCTCGGGATGAATGATCGTGGCAGCGAAAAGATAGTGGAAGAAGCGAGAGAGAGACGTGGTGATGATCGGGACATGGCTAACGTGGAGAGCCTGAACGCTCCATTCGATGGCATGGATTTGGGTCATACGTCAGGTACTCCACTGAAAGAGGGTATCAATCGAGCGACGGTCCGACCTCCGCCTGAACCACCACCATGGGTTGTACGACGTGCTAGAGTCCGTGAGAGTTTTCCTAGTAATTTTTATCTGTTTGTCATTTGTTTTCTTGTGTTCATCTTTGTTGTTGATTTTGACAATTTGTTTGAGTTTTTAGCCCCTCTTTATGTCATTGGATATGGTTGGATCTATGAGAACGTGTTTGGCTGTGTCAAGTCCACTACATGGTTAGCGATTCGTATTGCTCTTTCAGGGGTGGCCGTCTCAAAGTCTCGGTTACAGTCGTAGTTATTGCAATTTCAGTTGGTGTCAGTTTTATTTTCCCTTTACTTGATGTAATGATCCTGAATCTTTTGATATGAATAAAGGTCTGTTTTGATGATAAAAAAAACATATACGGAGTAGTGGAAGCATGATCGAGAAGGAGAATTTTCAAAAACAATAAATTTCAATATCTTAAAATTACTAGAAGATTCATCACAAATAAATATCAGGACATAATGAGACAATCACTCATCTTCCTCACGAGTCACGACACAAAGTTCTAAGACAGTCCGGTTAGAGGGAAATAGAGTTTAGGATATAAGTTTGTTGAGAGAAAGTACAGAGGGAGTACTTCCTATAAATATCCATACAAATGATACACCAGAAATACAAACTTTACAAAATGGAAATCTATTTTCTAATCAAACCATATTTTAGACTATTACAAAATGGAATTCTATCTTCATAAAGCTGCTATATGAAGAAACACTTCCTACTCCTTTGACTGTTTTACCTATTGTAAACTATAACCTCAGGGAGGCCCATTCTCTTTATGTATTGAATGGCTAACCAGCTTGAAAAGGACACATATGCTACAAAGAAACAGACTCTTTTTAAACGGACTGCACTACAGTGCAAAGTAAGCCATCTGGTCATCGAGAGGTGGCGACATTTAGGCCTGAATTTCCATACAAGGCTAGCCGAGAATATGATAGCAAGGGAGGAAAAGATCCCGGTGAGCAGTCCAGCAACCACACCCAATCCCCAGGATCTTCGTAAATTTGCACCGGCAAATGCAGAATTGGGCCTGTTTACTAACAGAGATATTTTCCTGTTTTCTACTTCTGTTTTTCGTTCTCCAATTTTCTGTTTTTATTTTTCAGTTTTTCTATCTCCAATTTTCTGTTTCTATTTTTTAGTTTTCCATTTTCAAATTTGAAAACATGTTCATCAATTTTTTCACACAGTTCTCCAATTCCACACCCTTGACCCCTACCTCTACCCTTACCACGATCTTACACTCTACCCATACTCCACCACAACCCTTCATACCCACCCATACTACTCGTAGAGGTTGGGTAGGGAAGTTATGGGTGGGGGTGGGGTAAGGGGTATGGTCGGGGTGGGGTGGTAAGGTCTAGGGGTAGGGGGTTGGGTGGGGGTAGTGGGTGGGTTAGGGTCGTGGTTAGGGTTAAGGGTGGGGTAGTGGGTAGGGTTGGGTTAAGGTAGGGGTAGGGTAGGGGTTGGGATAGGATGGCAGTAGGGTGGGGTCAGGGTAAGGAAGGGGTAGGGTGGGGGGTAGGATGGCGGTAAGGGTGGGGGTAGTGGGTGGGGTTTGGGGTTGGGGTAAGGTAGGGGTAAGGTAGGGAGTTGGGATAGGATGGCGGTAGGGTGGGGCTGGGGTAGGGAAGGGGTAGGATGGCAGTGGGGGTAGGATGGCGGTAAGGGTGGGGGTAGTGGGTAGGGTTTGGGTAAGGTAGGGGTAGGGTAGGGAGTTGGGATAGGATGGCGGTAGGGTGGGCCCGGGATCCGGGTGGGGCCGAGGTAGGGTAAGGTGGGGGTGGGAGTAGGATGGCAGTACGGGGGTGGGGGTAGGATGGCGGTGGGGTGGGGCCGAGGTAGGAGGCATGTGGTAAGGGGTAAGGTAGGGGTAAATGGAATATACGAGGGGTGGGGTAGGGTAGGGTGGGCCGGGGTGGGGTCGAGGTGGTAGGGGGTGGCGGTAGGGTAGGGTGGATCGAGGTGGTAGGGGGGTGGCGGTAGGGTAGGGTGGATCGGGGTGGGGCCGAGGTCGGGGCATGTGGTGGGGGGTGAGTAAGGTCATTATAGGGAAAAATGGGTACGCGGGGTGGGGGTTGGGTGGGTAGGGTAGGGTAGGGTAGGAGTAAGGGGTAAGGTACGAGGATGGAGGTACTGGAATGGAATCGACATCGGAGCGGGACCGGACCCACCACTAGGTGTAAGTATGCAAATTCATTGCAAAGGCACTGTAGCATCTGCGTTTTCCAAATTTGGAAAACTAGTAAAAGTCACTTCTCCAAATCATTAAGGAAAAGAGAGACATGTTTCATTTTTTCCGTTTTGGAAAACAATTTGGTAAACGCGTTTTCTTTTTTCCTTTCTCCAGTTTTCCAGGAATTTCTTTGGTAAACACGTTTCCTGTTTTCTGTTTTCCAGTTTTCCAGTTTTCTTGAAAACTGGAAAATATTTCTGTTAGTAAACAGGCCCTAATATTCTCATGAACCTGACAGAAATACCCACCTCTAGTTACATTAGGAAAAAAGATAAGAGAAAATAAACATCAGTCATCCCTGGTAAAAAATTACAATAACATCCATCGGTCACAAGCAAAATCTAATTCTTGATGACCATATAGGTTTTACGCAAAAAACAAATGAGGAACAAGATGATAGCTAGATGACTGGAATTAACAGAAGATCCATCACCGAGATTATTTTTTCAATACGTTTTTCTTTTTAGAAACCAAAAGATGTTTCTTTAACCCTCCATGTCCTATGGTCAGAGATTTGACTAATGAGAAGTTTGTCACTCCTGTTCTAAAGGAATCACTTTCATACCTAATGGGTTCAGACAATGTGGTGACAGAAGGTATTGCATCTTGGATAAATATTTTCTGTGTCTAAGTCAATCTGATTTGTTTTCTCATAGAACCATTTTTCAATTGTAGACACCTGACACCTTTTAACAGTAGCACATACATTAAATGTGGAACTTATTGTCAACGTCTTTCACATATAATCCTATCTGGTTCAAAAGGAAACCTTATTCAGTACGCTAAACACCACATTCAAATGTGTGTTTGATTCACATCTCCGGAAGATAAAAGGAGAAACGAACCATCTTTTATTTTAATAAGGAACGTATTCCATTTTCACACTATCTTGAAGCTTTGGTAGAAGAACATGGAGCAATAAAAAACCAAACATCCATTTCTAACTATCAGGAGGGGTAATGCAAATAGGTATAGATGACAGAAGACATAAAAACTTTGTTTATCTTTCTTCAAGGGCACACAAGTTCTTGAAAAACTTAACAGGAGCAGTAAAAATTTCCAACTCTCAATCCTTTTTTATGCCAGTAAAGAACAGATAGAAAATTTCTTTCTTCAATACTCACAGGATAATATACCGGATGGACATCTCTACAGTGGATGGATCTTTAGCTTGACAACCGAAAAAGCCATCTTCATATATGTCAATCTTAGAAATTCCCAACGTGTACCAGCACTTGTAAGTTTCATTAACCTGAGAAAAGGGAAGGCAGTGTGGTAATACAAAGACACATCATGGAAAACAAACAATCGATTAAATTCAATTAGTAAAAGTACACACTAAAAAATAGTGTTTCCCTCATTGCGGTCAAAATTGAATGACTAACATCTACCTTGAATCTATCCTTTGCCAGCCAAGCAGCAATAAAATTGGGTCTACAGTCAGAGGGAAGTGCTTCACTAGGAGCTTCAGCGAACGCGAGACGCGACTGGCCCGAATGATCTACATATTCAACCTGTTTTTGGCGAGTCATTTAAAGCAAAAACACATTTATTACTCTAAGCTCAAAAATTGGCAAAATGCTTTATACAAAATCAAAAGGAAAGAACAAAATGTTGAACACGTGAGTCTTAAAGTCACATCCCAGGCAATGACAGCCATTTGAATGCCATTGAGAATATATTAAATGAAAAGAAAACTTTGATATAGAATAAGTAACATCCTTGCGTTTATCACAGCAACAATACAATGCACATGAAATGAAACATTTAAACATTTACACATTCTTTTTCTCAGAGAGGGTGGATTTTCCAAAGATCCAAAAATGATATCGAGTGTCCTATCATTCTACATCTTGATCCTCTTGGGTTCTTAGAAAATCTTTACTAAACCTTCCCAACTGCAGATACTAGGTGCAGTATGGTACAGGGTCATATTTAACCCAGAATAAACCATAGCCACAGGATGCATGTAGTAGAAAGAGCATGTCAAAGAGTGACTATTATCTACTTCTAAAGTAGCAAAGCTATAAGTTGATCTTGAATCATATACTGATATACCTACTCAAATGCTCACATAGCATATGCACAATCGCACTAATATATTCTTAAGAATTAAGATGAGAGGAATGTAGACTACCAAGAAAATATAGCATGCTATGAAAATCAGAGATAATCACCTTAAATACAGATGCCCAGTAGTAATCATAATGACATCGAAACTTCTTTATTTCATATGGGTAAAGTACATTTTTAGCTTTGTAGTTCAACAGTCCCAGTTCACATACTTTAGATGACCTAATATCCACACCTGTAGAGAAGTTTAAATGCATATTTTTCAGGTTTTACGATATTCCACAACTGCCAAAATTAAATCAACTAGTTTTTTGTTGGGGGCTGGTACATGATCAAATTATGAATGGATGCATGTTACTTTGAATGCTGTAATGAGTCTATACAGTCGCAAGCAAACATAATCAAAATATACAAAAATTGAGACATTGTAGCATAAGACAGCAATGCAACCCAAGATGCTTTTCTTTTTTACTTTCTGTTAACAAGAATTTTCCATTTATACATCAATTTACAACACCCTTCTCACAGGCAAACACTTATGTCCATACACACATAGACAAGATGTATCTGTGAGAACAAAAAAAACTGCAAGAGGAGTGCTGTACCAGCGATGGTAAATAAAGCACTGGACTGTCAACAAAGGTTAGATATCGTAGCACTTGAGTTCATTTGAAGAACATAACAGGCAGAAATATTCATGAAGGGAATAAAAAGGTTCATAAAATTGACAGAAAAAAATGGTGGAAGGCAAATTCAACCCAGTAGGACAGAAAAGAAAAGATTGTGATAACTTGATAAGTGTAATTGCAATGTTCTTTCACTTACACGATAAGGATATCAAAATAGCAGTAAATTTGAACGGGTCTCTCCACTTGCAAATTGTGTAGATTGCGACCACTACAAAGTTCATAAAATTTTAAATTCCAAACAAACATACATCTCTCCATTGAACGGGTCTGAAAACTATGCATATCTTGTTAACATCTAACAAATTTTCAGTAATTCCCAACACAAAACACAATCTAACTAGCCACGTCCTATGAAGTATAATAAGATTGGAACTTCTTGCAATAGAAATCAATGTGCTCGCGTCTAAAATGCTCTTCAATCTAGTTTCATTTCAGCTGATCCCCCCCAGTTAGAATCAAAAGAACATCGAAGCCAATACTTTAAGCTCATCAAAACACCCAGAAAAAATCTATATTTCCATTCAGAGCGCCAACGACTGCTCCCAAATATACCATAAAATCGTTAGCTCACTTACTGCTAGACACTATTTTGCATCGAGATGGCAGAGAAATTGGATTCCAAATCGCTAAACTCTCTATATACACAGCAGAACAAAGCAAGAAGATGAGCAGGAGGAAGAACCCCAGTACAAATAGTACACGCCCCAAACAGCTCCGCAATAATCGAAAATTAGAAGTCTCCTCCTCTTCACTGTTGTCATTGGGCTCAGTCGAATTCATGATATTTCCTTATTAATTTAAACAGTTCAGGAATTAATTCCGGTCGCCGGATGTTTCATCCGATTATCGGAATTCCGTATGAGAGAAGGATTGGGGTAAGGGGATGGAGTAAAAAACATTTTTGAAGTTATGACGAATGAAGTACAAACGGTAAACATACTAAACTACTCGATGAGTCCATGAAACAAAAAATACACACAAGCTATTTGAATTCATCACCTTTTTACTAATATAGAGAAAATATATTACACAATATGAAGACAATTAGAACAGATTTAATCGTAAGCTCTAAAAATAGACATAAAGTTAACAACTCTTTACAAATTAATCTGATTCGATAGACAGAAAGCAGACAAGATTAAACCTAAAAATGAACGAAATAAAGCATGGTTTATCAAAAGTTCTTCAAAAATCAAAATACTCCAACTATACATGTTCGAACTGAAATAAAAAAAAGTACTATTAAAAGAAAAATAATATGAAAATAAAAAATTTCCTCAAATTGCTTACTCGCATGGAGGTGATTATGAAGAAGGACGAGTTGCTGCACTATGGGTGAAGGCTAACTCCCTCTTTCGAATTTATTTTTCAGTGAAGAGAATTTCGATCCTGGAAAATTCATCTGAAACTCTATTCTCCTTGCATTAACAATCGCATCTTTAAGCACAAGACTCTCCTCTTCATTCTCCATAGTCAACATGTAGTACTGCTATTCAAGCTTCTCCATTGAAATATCAAAGTCTGCGTGCGAACTCGTTGCCTTCTTCGACGTTTCACCTGAAAAAGAACGGATCCAGGATTTCGAGCCAAGGGGGCGAAAATTTTCGTTGGTTAGGGTGTAATTTTTTTTCACTAGTGTAGCGTTGCGATTTATTTTTTTGCTACTGTAGCGGGGTGAATTTTTTCACTAATGTAAGACTCAACGGCTATATTTATTCAAAAAAATCATTAATACACACACGACGACATTTAAATGTATGTATAACATTTTAAGTTCAAACAATGACAAATAACTTTAACATTATAATTGAAGTGGTCTAGAAAAAAGTATTGATACATTAAAAAATAAGAAATGACAAATCAAAAGAATAATTTGAAAATAAATATGATATAATACATTTTATTTGAAGATAAAGAGTTTATAAGGTACACATTCACTAATACTTTCAAAGTAACTTCTACATTGTTTAACTACATGAATCTTATAGAAATAAAAAGAATTGGTTATTGAATTACAATTTTGTCTACCAAGGGGTGTTCATGAGTCACATAAACTTTTCTTAATATTACAATATTATGATTTTTAGAATAATATTATATTGTTAATTCATATATATAATGCATATTATATTTGTATTAATGCTAAAATAAGTTAAAGCTTATTATCTATGCAATAAAGTCTTTTGAAAACGTAAGAAAGAAGTAAATGAATTGTGTAATTTAATGTCAATAAGTATTTATAATTTGGATTCACTTCACATGATCTAAAAACTATGTAACTAGTGTGTCTCGTATTTAATATCGTTTGGTATATGTTTTGCAAAATCTAGTACTAGTTTTCTAATAAAGACAATTAAACATTACAAAACCAAAAAATTATATAATAAGTATCCTGAATCTTAAACAACGAGTTGTTCTATTGTTTATTTATTTAAGTTAGGTAAATTATTTTATATGTTCCTTCTTTTAAATATGTAATTAAGTATTACATTGTGTAAGATTATATATTAATTTTGAAAACTAAGAGTTAAGAGGGGGAAATCTAATTAAAGTATGAAAATTTTACGAAATTATTGCATATATAGTAAAAAAAAACTGAAAGTCCAAGGGGGGCGGTCGCCCCCCGCGCCCCCCTTAAATCCATCGCTACGCCTGATAAACCTAGTAGTCAAACAAATTGTCGGCTACAGGCGTTAAACTCCACCAGGTGGTATTTGATACTACTCCATATTTAACTTCTGCCAGTTCTACATATTTAACTTGTGCCAGTTCTTCAATTCCTTTGGAATAGGCAAAACCATATTGATCATATTGAAGGAGAGAACTAATAACTTAACTTAAGGGAAATTACCCTAAATAGGACTAAAAACGTTTGAAAATTTCAAAATAGGACTGCCATGTTTTTATTCCCAAAATAGGATTAATTACTGCCATGTTTTTATTCCCAAAATAGAACTAATTACTGCCATGTTTTGGCAGTACCGGGCTTTAAAAATGGCAGTATTTTCCAAACTTGGCAGTAATTACTCCTATTTTGGGAATAAAAATATGATAGTTCTATTTTGTAATTTTCAAACCTTTTTAGTCCTATTTTGGGAATTTTTCCATAACTTAATAAGTACATGAGTATCATAATGCTCCCTAGTCCCAATTCCCTAATACATGAGGCAATTATGTATACTCGAAAAGATAGAAAATGTAGGTGCGTTTAGCGGTTTAGATCCTACATTTCCCACGATAAGTCCCGTGTTATGTGTGTTTATGTACTCACGGGCGGATCACGCGGACCTATAGTTGTTTAAAAAATTAAAAGTGTTCAGGTGAATAGTCAAAATTTTTAACTAATGGTATCGAGTACTAGTGTTGAAATTTATATATGTATATGAACACTCAAAACTCATAAAATAAATTCGAACCTTAAAAATCAACGTACAAAATAAATTATATACTCCGTATTTACATTTATGTATATATGTGTGTGTCAAATTGTGTCCTTGGTAGAGAAGAGAAAATTGCTCTTCATAAGACCAAATCATACAAACTTTACAAAAGTAGGACTGAGCTATGTTTATTGGATTGGGATCCTCTGCCCGACTAGGACGGTGCCTTGCGCATCGGACGGTCGGGCAGTAGCAAAGCAGCCCGCGAGATTAGTGATAAAGTGGAGCCCAAGATCTCCGACCGTTGAATTATTGATCGGACGACCCGGAAGAAGCAAGGCACCCTACCTTACTCTAAAGTAAGGTAGAGGCTCCGGATCCATGTTTATTCCATGCGTGTGATTCATTTAATTCTATTTTAGAAAACATTTGTATTATTGTTTACCATTTTTACCCTTCACTTCAGTATTCCAGATTAAAAATAAAAAATAACTTCCCTAGTCCTCCGTCTCTCCCATCTCATCGCATCTCACACTTCTCTGCAAACTCAACACCAAATCCAGGCTCTACAATGACGTTGCTCTATCTTACCTTTTCCTAGCGAACAATTTCCGGTTCGTCACAGAGCGAATAAGGTCAAGCTCCCTCCTCGAGTGTCTCCCAGGTGATGAATCGCTGTCGAATCTGGACAGGAAGGTGAGCTCGTATATAGCAAACTACAAAACTATGGCGTGGGGAAAAGTGATTTCATCTCTTCCAGACAGATCGGATCCATCGTTTTCAATTGAGGAAATAGATGCACATTTCAGAGAATTCAATGCCGCCTTTGAAGAGGCATACCGGAAACAGAGAGCGTATTTGGTTCCTGACGGGAAGCTCCGAGATGAAATAAAATTGGCAGTAGCAAGAGAATTTGTAGCATATTAGGAATTCTATGATGCATACCTGGAATTGCTGAGCAGTGAGAAGAACATGGAGGCTCTGGTGAGGTATTCTCCGGATAATTTGGGAAACTACTTGTCAGATTTGTTCCAGGGAACATCCATGTCCGGCATTTCACCACCATCCTCCGTCTTTCCCATCTCATTGCGGAGTTTCTCGACAGCCTCTCGAGGTAATTTCGTCATCGGAAATAGTGAATTGTATATATATTATTTTGTACTACCTGCTCTGCTATTATGCTATTATCAGAATGTATTGTCTATCTATTGTCTATTTACTGTCTATATACTGTCTGTCTGTTGTTTCGCAAGTTTAAGTTAAGGTGGTGGACAAAACATCTAGAAGTGATGTTGTTAATCTGAAAGTCAAAGTATGTTTATGTTGTGAGTTTCGCCTGGAGCAGTTCATATATGTTCATGGCATTGGAATTGTGGGTCAACATTGAGGATTGTTGTGATATGATTACATCTTAAGGATTTACTTCACACTTGAGTGGATAACTATTTAGTGTGACTAGAGAATTTGTATTGTAATATAAAAGTGTTCAAGGTGTAAGAAATGAGGACATAATAAATGTCGTTCAAGAATCCTATTTCAATCCATAGTCCTTAAATTCACAAATCACAATGTCCTATCACTTTCATTTTATTTCATCGAATAAGTGTGTGAGACTTTTGGTTTTGTTTTGCTCACAGGAAGCTGGCAGAAAAACTATTCTCTCTTAGCATTTTGAGACCAAACTTTGCACCTTCCCTGTTGGATCCTCTATGATGTTGGTAAATTAGTTACCTATTTATTAATATTATTATTTCTTAACTCTTTTTATTTTATTTCCTAATAGACTTTTATTTACTGTTACTCCGTATTCTCTTGGCATACTCATTTTTAGGTTATTGCACATGAGTATGAAATTATTAGCAAAACCTCCGAGAGCTTTGTTCTTGTCGTGTTTTTCAACTTGAGCATTTCATTTGTGTTCATGGTTGCGGCAATGGTCACCATCGAGACTTACTGTCCGATTTACATCTCTTGATTCTGAACAAAAGTTAGCTAGGGATCTTGTTTTGTCAGTGACCACCTGCAGTGATGTTAATGCCAGAAACGAGCTCAAACCCTTAGTCAAGGATCTTGTGTGCAAAAGCTATGAAAAGGAGGAACGCCTTGAACTGAACAAAGAGGATATATTTGGTGTTTGCAGGTCTTGCCTGGTTCCCTGGTCAGTGGTCACTCTGCTTGAGGAGGCCACCAGCAATAACAACCCATATGGGAAAGTTAAGCCGCCGTTGATTGAGCGAATATAATGTGATTTGTATTGTACCACCTGTGGGAAATATATCCAAATCTCATTTCAACGGTTGAATCTATCAAGTTTCATAGTTGGTTCATAATTTTGTATTAAGTTTGTACTTATATTAACTGTAGGAATTTAATGTCTGTGCCCGAGACATTAAAGACTTGTTATTGTCTACTTATGGACAGTATTGCATGCTTCAATCCAGTATTATAAATCAACTCAACACTAAATAAGAGTGATCAAGCACTTCATATTTCACTAGGGGCTACTGAAATGCTGATTGAACACAACAGTCTGTTGATTGTACTCATACGTCTATTTTGTATTCAAAAGAAATGTATAGACTTTTATGTTCAT